GTGCCCTGGAGTCGGTCCTCGCAGAGGACTGGCCTGGGTTGTGGTGGCGGCGATGCGTCGGACCCCAAGCCCAAGGCCCGGGGGTCCCTCCGTGCGACGGGGGTGGGGACCCACTCGGGTGCCCCCCGGGCCGAGAGGGGGAGGGGGAGGGGGAACGAGGAGAGGAGACGGAACCCCACTCGAAGGTGCTGACTTTCCGCTCGGGGCCCCGGATGGCACTGCAGTTTCTGCCGCCCACTGGCGGGAGACCGATGCATCGACGATGCGGCGCGGTCCTCCGACCCCATCCACACCGACCCCATACGAGAGGCCTACTCTGAGTGGGGCAATAATCGCCCCCCCTTGCATCCACTGGGGGGGAGGGGCGCGTGCTGTTGGAATGGGTGGAGGGGGGGTTGAAGGAGGAGGAGGAGGAGGAGATCCACGCCAGCTGAAGGTGCACCACATTAAACATGCATCCAAAAGACAGCCCGCCCATCCAGATAAGGGCATCAAAAGCCATCGTCCGAGAGATCAGCCTCCTCGCGGCGTCTGCAGTCCAGGACCCGCTGCCCCAGGCCTTCGGCCTGAGCGCGGGAGGGGAAACCAAATAGCGCAAGGCCTCGGATGAGGTCGACCCCCATCCGCTCAACAGCGGGGTCGGGTCCAAGCTCGAGCGCACCTCCTAGGCCTAACTTCGAGGCCAGGAAGGTCCGAGAATCATCGGAGAGCGATCGCGCTGCTCCGACTCGGCATTCCTTGCGGGACGGGTGCTTGCCTTGCAAAATCCAAGCCAATTGCCGCTCGCGGCCTGGAGAACGGGACCCTAGACAGTCCGACACGAGAGCGCTCCGACCCCAAGCAGTCACAGGGTGGCCGATGGACACGCCGCACGTGGTGCAAAAGACCACGCGTCCCAAAGGAGCCCCAACTGCCGAGGTCACAGCTTCGATGCAGGAATAGCCTCTAGCCTTCCACGGCCTGAGGCGGGCCCAAGCTTCTTCCCCCGGAGGCGGGCGGACGGGGGAGGGTGGCACCTCGTCAGCGTCCTGCGCCACGCCGCTGGCCGTCGCGCCCCCTCCTCCGACGACGGACGACGCTCCCGCCCCCCCGTCCCCAACGCCCTCCTCGAGGACACCTGGCGGCACTTCAAAGGAGCCAAGGCCGACCTCGCGAAGCCAATCTAACGAGACGTGGTCGAAGACACCAGCATCTGCGATCATGGCCTCCTGACGAGTCAAGAAGCGAGCAACCTGCCTAGCAATCTCATGGCAGCCGATGATGACGAGACGATCGGCGAGATCGCTGCAAAAAAGATCGGCCCCACGGCGCGCATACATATCAGCCGCTCTATTACCGAGCCACTGCGCACGAGTCAGGCGGCCCTCAATCACGTCCGTCTCTGTACAGTGGGACTGGACCTTCCACACAGTGCAATCATCGAGCTTGTCGTGCACCTGAGCCCACCAATGGGCCCTTGCATTCTCAGGGCCAGCGGCAGACCTGGGATCCCGAGCGCACTCAACCGTGCCAGCACAACCTATATGGAGGCTGGCCCCACTGAAGATGAGAGCATGGAGACACAGCTGGAGGATCGCATAGTCTTCGCCGTCCCGCGCGGCCTGGAGGGGTGCCTCGGCAATGGGCACCACCCCCCAAATGTAAGACAGGACGACTCCCTCCCCGTCCGAACGACCACAGCCCATCCCGCCACTCCCAGGGATCGAAAATGGCCGTCGAATGTCGAACCATCCGTGAAGACAGGCATGCCAGCACCTATCATCAGGCCCTCAGCCGGCCAGTTAGAACGATGCATGAAGCAGGAGGCTGGGTCGGGCGCCCTGCACTTAAACCAAGCCGAAGGGTCTGGGAAAATCGCCCTGGAAAAATGGTCTTGGGCACGACCCGAAAGCGAGGACACTGACCTGGCCGCCTCCCGAACTTCGCACGAGAGCTCATCGCGCCTCCATGCCGAGTGCGCGGGGCAGCCGAATCGCCGATGGAAGAGGGTCCCAAGCTCCCCGCAGTGGAGACAGAAGGGGCGGATATCTTCACACTTCTCGGCGAAACGCTGCTGGCACCAATACCTGTTAGCTATCAGGCCTCTGAGAGCTCGGGAATGATGGGCCGTCCAGCCTTCAGAGGCCTTGGCCGCAATCAGGTCCTGGGCAGGGCGGGAGCAGATCGGGCCAGCCCACTCGCCAACGAACGACGACTGACGACCCTGTTCATCGGCCACGATCGCGTCCCAGCACGCCTGTCGGCAGATAACTTCAAAGAAGGCCGGCGAGAATCGGCCGATGGCCCAGGCGACACCACGGTGGTCCACAAAACTGTCAGCATCAAGGTCGAGGTCCCAGCCAATCCTCCCAAGGGTGAGGAGGACGGCGGCGACCGGTTGCTTCACTGCGCTCCAGGGCGTTTTCTTCTCGAGGGTCGCACGAGCATCTTCCAAGGCTGACGCGAAAACAGGCCGGGTGACTGAGCGATGCCACCAGACCGAGACGAACGTTTTTACGGCCGCCACAGTGAGGTGCACGAACGGGTCGCTCGCCCATGCGCTGCTGAACAGCAAAGAAAAGGAGGATGGAGGGGGGGCGATTGGGCAAGCTCAGTCGGAAGGTTAATCACCCCCCCTGATAAATACCCCATCCAAAGAAGGCCCCTGCCCGAGCTCGGAGCAGCTCCGTGGAAGCCCGGAACGCGCTCGGAGCGGCTCCGTGGGAAGTTCGGAACGTGCTGGCAGGACTCGCACCACCTCAGGGGCGCTCGGTCAGGGAGCACTGGGCGTGCTGTCGCCTGCGGTGGCACTGCTCCCAGGGCGTGCACGAGCCGTCACCCCCAAGAAGAAGAAGAAGAAGAAGACGCCGTGTGTCCATAAGGTACGTGAGCATTACGGCAGGTTCGTGTCGTGTCGACCCCGGCGTTGGTTTTTGACACCGCAGGGATCGTTCAACCTTGAACGATCGGCCGCTGCCGCAACGTCCGATCGTTCAACATCGATCGATTGTGGGTCGCCGGCGGCGTTCAACCTTGAACGTCCGCGCTGGGGTCGCCGCCGGTCGACACGACACAAACCTGCCGTACTCTCAGTCAGCCACGGCGACGCATCAGCGGGACTGGCTGTAGCTCCGCGCTGCTCGCCCCACCGTGGTCGCCAGAGAACGGCGGGAAAGTCGGGGCACTTTCTCGAGCAACAGAAACGGCGCAAGCGAAACTTCTCTGAGTACGCGCGGACTTCTCGGATCGGCGCTGGACCCCCCTCCCTGGCGCGCTGGCGCCTCCAGGGGGGCCCGGCGCCGACCCGAGAAGTCCGCGCGGGGCGACGAGAAATTGTGCATGCAGCTGCTCATATGCTCTGCGCTCTCGGAAGTGTGCGGCCCTGGCTCCGGGCCTCACTCGTTCGGCGGGTGTGCGCAACGGTGAGGCAGGAGCCAGCCAGCCGCTGCAACGTGTCCCGAAGGCGTCGCACCAGCCAGGCCGAGGTCTGGAGCGCACTGCGCGGAGAGGCCAAACCGGGCTTGAGGAGCTATGCAGTCAGAACGGTCTCAAGAGTAAGCCAAGCGAGCGCAGCTGCCGTCGCCCAGAAGCGCAACCACCAGGCGTGCAGGCGGACACAGCGGCCCGCAGGCCTCCACCAGAGGACCGGTGAAACTACGAACTGTCCTGGCCTCGCCGTTGTAGGCAGAACTGGATGAAACATAACGCTGGATGATCAAGGCAGGGAGAGGAGGAGGAGGAAGGTGAGAGTCAGGAGAAAGAAAACCGCAACCCATATTCAGAAGCCCAACGGATCCTGGGAGCGAGACCCGAACGGCTCCACACGAGTTCACGGTCTCAAGAACAGGGAAACGAGACACTGCAAAAACCTAATCTTTCGGAGCTACACGCTGATTTCTTGGATCTGCGCTAGATCCCATCGATGGCGCGCGGAACGCACCAGGGGCGGCGCCGAAGGCGCCGCCAGGGGGACCCGGCGCCGATCCAAGAAATCCGCGCGGATCTCCGAAAATATGTTTTTATTTTTTCTATTTGTTAATTGCTTTATTTTTGTTTAGGATATCCGAAAATGTATGTTCATACCTTTCTCTTCAAAGAAACAGCTCAGCAGAGTGAATCGGACTGCCACTGCCGACCCCCGCTTTGCCGGGACGAGGGGGCGTGGGAGATGAGTGACGTGTGGCATGGTGTAGTGGCGTATCGAATGCATTGTCGTTGCATCTGAGATATTCATCTCGGCGCCGGCGTTGGATCGTGCTCTCGCCCGTCGCCGCTCTCAACAGCGTTTGGCTGCTCGATTGCCATGCCTACGCGTCTGCTTGGATGTAAGGCCGCTGGACTGTACCGTACTGGACACGTCATGAACCGCGGGCGCAGTGCTTAGAGCGGCCCCTCTGGGCCATTGCGCCAGTGCAGACTGGCCCCAATCACAAGTACAAGAGCTCGAGCGTTCAATGACAGTGAAGGAAACAACTGCTCTTGCTTATCGACTCGTGGCTTGAGTTACAACGGTTACACAGGAATAGGATTAAATCGGCTGTTCACGCGCAAAGCACTTTCGAGTCCACTCGACAGCGATTACTTTCTCTTGGGCGCTGTTTTCTTGCCTTGTGCGCCGTTCGGGTCCACTCAAGACATTGCTTGTTCAACAAGACTTGTAGCGCAAGCAAGCAATTGGAGAATTGTAAAGTCGATTATCTCGAACTTTCGTCTTCCCGCCGCTTATTCATCGTAGTCGACGTCGCCGTCGCCAGTAGCGCCGTCGGCGCCGTCGCCGGCGTCGCCCGTCGTCGTTGTCGTCGTCGTCGTCGTCGGTGCGCGCGCAAACCTCAAACAAGCCTGGGAACGACTAATAAACCGTGGATACAACGGCCGAGCACACACTCGCGCGCACGCGAGCTGAAGCTAAAGGAGAGCAGCGCACATGGACACATCGGCAATAGAAAAAGCGTGTAGGGGAAAAGCAAGATCAGGAGCAGGAAGAGGATAGGGAGCGGCGAGACAGGGAGCCGCGCGCGATCCAGTAACGACCCGTGCCGCTGATGTCGTTGTTCGCCACCTCACGCAGCGTCAGATGGAGGAAAGTGGCCGCCCGTATTGATTACAGCCGCATTTCTCAACAAATCATTGAGATCGGACGCTCATCGGCCATGCAAGATCGGTGGCCGCCTCCACGAGGGAAGGGCAGGGGCATCCATGGAAGATTTCATTAAAGCTATGGGGGATGGGTGGGGACGGCATAAGGGAAGGACTCTGCAATATCTGCGGACGATTGAGGTGGCGCTTTCTGGCGAATCACCGCGACAATACGAAATCACGCGGCAGTGTGGCTAATCCAAAAAGACGTCTAGGCGTAGGTGTTTTGATGGACTCTCTCTCTCTCTCTCTCTCTATCTCTCGCTCTATCTTCCATCCCCATCAGTTCCTCTTCGAGAAGGTGTTCACCCCTACCCCTGCTCCACGTCGCAAAGTCCCTACCCCTCGCCTAGCCACGCGAAGAGGGTGGCGGCAGCCGCGTGCCCCAAGAGGAAGTCAAGAGGCCACCAAGAGGCCTCATTATCCTCCTCCTCCTTCCCCTCCTCCTCCTCCTCATCATCACCACCACCACCACCACCATCACCATCACCATCACCACCATCATCATCATCATCATCATCATCATCATCATCATCACCGTCATCATCATTAGCAGCATCCTCATCATCATCGACATCATCATCATCATCATCATCATCACCATCACCATCACCATCACCATCACCACCATCATCATCATCATCACCGTCATCATCATCAGCAGCATCCTCATCATCATCGACATCATCATCAGAATCATCATCATCATCATCATCATCATCGTCATCATCATCATCATCGTCATCATCGGCATCATCATCATCGACATCATCATGACCACCACCACCACCACCATCACCATCACCATCACCATCACCATCATCATCATCATCATCATCATCATCATCTTCATCATCATCAACATCATCATCATCATCATCATCATCAGCATCATCATCATCATCAAACTCACGAGATCCTGGACCTAATGCATCAAACTCGTGTGCGTCAGGTGTTCTGCAGAGGCTCGTGGACCCAGGATCGGCTCTTTGCAAAGGGCGTTGGTGAAAATCCGCCGACCCCTTGGGATTCATCGGCGTGTGAGATGTTCCCCCTCCCCAAACCCCTCCCCCGGGAGCCCGGTCCGGTCGATTTGGAGGGGGGGGGGGGGTCGGGCCGGATCCCCCGTATGGGAACGGAGGGGTCATCCGCTCCCGAAAATCGTGCAAAACCTCGTGAAAATCGTGCAGGGACTCCTCTGGTGGCTTCGACATGGCTCTGGGACGCCCAACGAGCGCTCCAAGCCGCCCAAGGTGGCCCAAAGACGGGCCACGAGGCGTCCTCGACGGCAGAAGAGTCCCCCACGAGCCCCCCCGAGGGCCTCCGAGATGCGTTCCATTCCCTTCGTGAAACGTACATTTTTCACAAATTCGGCTTTGGGCCTTTCCGATGCTCCCCGACGGCCCAAGAGGCCCCCAAACCCGCTCCCAGACGGCCCCAGGAGCCTCGCAGAGGGTGCCCCACATACCCCTGGAGGGACCCAAGACGGGCCAACAGGCCCAAGAGGGCTCCGAAAACGGCCCCAAGAGCGCTCCAGGAGCGTTCCGAGTGGCCTCCGCAAAGCTCCACACGGTCCCAGACGGTCCAAGAGCGATCACAAACATCGACGACGGCCTCCCGACGGCTCAACAGGCCCCCAAGACGGCCCAAGAGGCATCCAAGATTCGCCCCAAGAGGCCCTCTAGACGCAAAAAATCGCCCGTTCCCTTCGTAAAACGTATTTGTTCCACACGTGCGCCTTTCGGGGTGCCCCCCGCTCCTGGACGGCCCCAGAGCCCCCCAAACCCGCTCCCAGACGGCCCAAGACGCCTCCAAGAGGGTTCCCCATATAGCCCTAGAGGGCCCCAAGACGGGCCAACAGACGTCCAAGACGGCCCAAAAGGGCTCAGAAAACGGCCCCGACAGCGCTCCAGGAGCGCCCCGGGTGGCCTCGAAGAGAGCTCCACATGGTCCCCGACGGTCCAAGAGCGATCAAAAACACTGACGACGACCTCCAGACGGCTACAGAGGCCCCCAAGACGCCCCAAGAGGCATCCACGATGCGCCACAAGAGGGCCTCTAGACGCACAAAAACGCCCGTTCCCTTCGTAAAACGTATATGTTTTCTCGCACGTGCGCCTTTGGGGGTGCCCCCCGCTCCTGGGCGACCCCCGAGCCCCCCAAGACCGCACCAAGACGGTCCAAGAAGCCTCCACGAGGGCCCCGCGACAGCCCAAGAGGGCGCCAAGACGGGTCAAGAGGGGCCGAGGACGGCCCAAGAGAGCCCCGAAGACGGCGCGCGCGCGCGACTCGCGGTCAGATTCCTCGCAACTTGCGTTGCTTCCCGCCGTGCTCGCCACTTGCTTCCGCAGGGCGTTTCGGCGGGTCTCTTCGAGGCGCCCGTCCCGCCTTATAGCACTTGGCGCAAACCACCAGATTGCCTCGGCGGAAATAATTATTCTTCCGGTCGTTCGAGAGATGGCCGCCGTCAGTGAACGTTGGCTTTGATCCGTCCTTTTTCACGGGACATGCGGAGCATTCCAACTTCTTCGCCATCTGCCTTTGCTCGTGGCACGCTCGGCACACCACCGAGCGATGGGCCGAACCCTTCTTGAAGAAGGCGTTCACTTGCTTATCTGTCAAATGCGTCCTGTCCGTGAATTCTCGCTCTTTCCCATCTGCTTCTTTCGGGCACGCGGAGCACGTGAGCGCTCGCGACTGATTGCGTTCTTCCTGGCACGCGCGGCACATGACTGGGCGATGGTCCGAACCCTTCGCGAAGAAGTGCTCCACTTGCTTATCTGTCAGATGCGTTCTGTCCGTGAACTCCCGGCCTCTTCCATCTGCTTCTGTCGGGCACGCGGAACACCTGAACACCCGCGAGCGCTTGTGATGCGCGTCGCAGTCGCGGCATTTCACTGGCCTATGGCCTGCGCCCGTCTGATAATAGTGCTTGGTTTGGTCTGCTGTCGGATGCCTCGCGTCCGTGATTTCCCGCCCTCGGGCCCTGGCCGAAGGCCCCACCGGATCCACCTGACCCCGAAATCCCCCAGATCGCCTCCAGGTCGTGCCAAGAGGGTCCACCAGGCGACGGGACGACCCGCGAGAGCTCCAGGACGGCTCCCGAGAGGTTCATGGCGCGCCAAAACAGCCTCAGAGGACGCCGAGACGGTTCCGCTTAAGGTCAGGAAGGGCCAAGATAGCTTCACAATGGCCTGAAACGATTGAAGGTCACCCCACGGCCGCCCCTGACGGTTCCAAAAGACACCGCAAAGCAGTTATGAGGTCACCAAGGGCATACCACAGTCCTCGGCAACAGATGGCGACGGCCAAGACGGCCGAAAAGAACGCCCAGAGCGCCCCATGACAGCCCAAGAGAGGCCGATGACAGCCCAAGAGAGCCCCAAGACAGCCCAATACTGCCACAGGACGGCCTAAGGGGCCCCAAGACAACCCAAGAATGCCCCCAGAATGGCCCAGGGGCCTCAGACCACCCAAAGAGGCGACCAGACCACTGCGCGATTCTTCATAAGGGGTCGGCGGATGTGGCGTAAGCCTGAAGAATAATTTGTGTCAGGCGTGTCTGGGTTCAGTGGGATAAAATCGTCATAAGACTTTCTGCTGCCCCAAGGGCGCCAAAATTCGCAATCGAGTCGGGGGCTGCCACATCGAAAAGCGATGTGAGGTGCGAATCCCTGGCCAGGCCACGAACATTTGCTGGGAAAAGACATCTGCGAGGACGCCAGCTTCACCCTTCGCCACCTCCCTCCTTCCCATGAGGCCGCCAGCGTTGGTCTGCGGAACGGATGGGTCACAGGAGAGGTTTTTGGAAACGCTTCCCTGCTGTATGGAGCCTACGAGGGCATCAAAAGAGCGGGCTGGGCCTTTCCTACGCTCGACGAGGAGGCGACTTTTCAGCACGCCATGTTTGGGCCCCTCCCTCTGGAGCAGTGGCAGCAAACGATTTTCGCGGCAGAGCTCTGGGCAGTATATCAAGTACTGTTTGTAGCGTTTGTTCCGCTCGTGATATACCTGTCTGTCAGGCAGTCGTCGAGGGCTTCGCGAGAGGCTCTGCATGGGGTCACCGGCCAGACCAAACAATATCTTGGCTCTGGCGGAAGTGCTGGCACGTGATCGGGGAGCTCGGGGGACTCGGGCGCTCTGCGGTCACCATAAGCAAAGTAAAAGCCCACGCCACTCGGGCACAACGCGCCGAGATGGGGGCCAGGCTCTGGGTAGGCAACACGGCGGCAGACAAGCATGCCAAGCTCGGTTCCCAGATGCAGCAGCACAGCGAATGGCAGCGGAAAGCTCACGTAGATAAGCTTAAGCTCGTCAGTGACATTCTCGAATTCGCGGCACGTGTGGGTGTGGAGTCCACCATCTTCTCCGCCTCCCCGGAGCTTTCCTCTCCTGGTCGAAGATGTGGACGGTGACCCGCAGGACCCCCTAATCAGTCAGGCAAGGAGTATGGGCCACCAAATCTTAGTCCGTGCTTCTCATGTTTTCTGTAAGCGCTGCGCCTGCTACGCCACCGCGCGTTGGCTGGCACTTAAGCGGCGAAACCAGCGAGTTCCAGGACTCTCGGAGGGAGGCTAAGCAGTTTGTGGGACGGACGTCACCCGACCTCTGGCCAAGCCCTCTAGTACAGCACGCCCCTATAGCTCGGAGAGGCCGCGTAGAGGTAGTCTGCACCACCCGTCAAGTCCCCTTACACGTAAGGCCCCTAACGCAGCGCAGTCCAATCCAGCCGAATCCCACAATCGGCTCCTCCCAGCCTCCGACCGCTCTCCCTCCCCGCCCCCACCTACCTTCTCCACCCCCGTCCCTTCCCTCTGGTGTGCCCCGTCCCTCCTCCCCTCCTTCCTTCCGTATTCCCGCCTCCATCCTCCCACTGAACCTTCTGGGCATCCCCTCATCCATCCCCCCTCCTCCTCCTCCTCCTCCTCCTCCTCCTCCTCCAACCTTTCGCGAACTCTCCCAAAGCCCTCCTCCTCCCCAACCTTTCGCTAACTCTCCCACAGCCCTCCTCCTCCTCCTCCTCCTCCTCCTCCACCTCCTCCTCCTCCTCTTGCGCATCATCATCGCCAAACATACTTCTCCCCCTTCTCGTGTTCATCTCTCTCCCCCTCTGTCTTCTCCCCCTCCTCTTCCTCGTCCTCGTCCTCCTCCTCCTCCTCCTCTCCACCCTCAACCTCAACCTCACCCTCGTAACCATCCTCATTCCCCTCCTCCACAGCCGTCTGCTAACTGACTGTCTCCCCTGATCAAAACACACACACACACACACCGCCTCTCCGCGGTAAGACGAGCCGTCGGGCCAAGAGAAGTCGCCGATGCCGTGCTTTCTGGGCGGCGCGCGTGCGGCGGGGGAACGGGGGGTCCATCACGGCTGCGACAGCGGCGCCTCGACCGAACCGACGGCAGCCCCGCCACCACCGTCAACCACTGATCCTCACCGACTCCACACTGTACGTACCGGTGCCCAATCCCCATCCACCATCCGTTCACGGCAGAGTTGTGCCGTGAGGACTCGTGCGCTGGTTCCTGACACCGCGCGGATCGACCTGCATTGAACGATCGCGCCTTTCCAATGGTGCGGATCGTTCGACATCGGCCGATTCGACCGTGAATGCCCACGCTGGGGCCGCAGCCGCGCCAACGCGGCGCGCTCCCGCCGTGCCTTCAAGACACCTCCGCGAGCTACCACAGATTCCAAGGCAGCTTCGGGGCGCGACACGTCCGCACGAGGTCCGACCTGCCCTCACTGGCCCGCCGCGCCGCCGTGGGAGGCCGCGGCCGTCATGCCCGTCCGGAGCTCGCTTTTGCTACTGGCGAGGGCGCCCGTGGCCGGCCCCGCCAACCCCCCCCCCCTCCCCCCTCCCTGGTCACGTCCTGATTCGCGCTGGCGCCGCGTGGGAGTTGGCCGCTCCTGGGCACTCCCGGGCATCGCCGAGGCGCCGTGCCGCAGGCTGGCGCATGGACTTCTGGACTGCTCGGCACTCCCAGACAGCGCCAGCGCGAGTCGCGGCGTGACTGGCCGCCTCCCTCTTGACACCCACCCACCCGTCACATCCGTCGTCGGCAGGGAGTAACAAAAAAAAGTCTGCTCTCCAGCAGCAGCGCCAGCAATCTGAGGAGGAAAGCCCCAAGCAGACCGAGGGGGGGCGATCTAGGCTTGATCCCAGCTTTCACTCGAGTGGGAAATCCCAAACCAACCCTGGGAAACGTCCTCCCTTCCGGTCTGGTCGGCGCTCCGTATCTCATGATAATCCGCATTCCCTCCCCAGAAGTCCACGAATGTCTCAAGAGGCCTCCAGAAGCCCCCAGGGGTCTCCAGAGGTCTCTGTCCCAGAAGCCTTGATCCTTCCACCCCACGTCCTCCTCGAGGAACCAGTCAAGCAGCCCGTGGCCCCGTCGCCCCAAGCTGTCCGCCACCACCACGAATACCCCACCAGTGCCGAGGCGTCACTCTCGTGCCTGCTTCGGGTGTTGCCAGAGGCGTTCCAGGCCAAAGGTGCCCCAAGGAGGCCCTCACGGCCTTTAGCGCAACCCTCACGAGGCCCTGAGGGCCCCAGGGCTTCAAAATGGAGTGAAAAGCTGGGGACACGTTGGCCCAGGGACACCTTTACGAAGGGGCCCTGGGGGGCATAAATAAATCTGAAGTAACCCCAGGATTTTTAACATGTTGTCCATATTTCCTGGAATTCCCTCTTCTCCATTTCCTCTACTTTCCTTATTTCTTAAGAGATCAACTGTTTTTTGTGTTTGTGCCGATTTGTCCCTCCTGTCCTTAGCACCCCTCGACTGCTACATCGCTCTTCTGTGTCCGGCGTCCGCGCCAGTCGTCTTGTACGGCAGGAGGGCCGTATCGTTCCCCAGCTCCAATGCTCGTGAGGAAAATCGTGAAGGATGAAGGTCGGCGGCGAGCCCAGGGGGAAAGCCAAGTGGGCGGGCCTTCTCATAAGGCTCGGAAGGCCTCCTGCCTTCTGAGAAGGTTTCTAAGCCTGCACCGAAGACCTAGACGGCTTCTCAAAGGCCGGAGGGCCTCTGAGAAGCCCCGCCGCCTTCTGAAAAGGCCTACCCCCTCTCGCTTCGCCCCCAGGCGCGCTGCCGAGTTTTGGAGCTTTGGGATGTTTCCACCCTCTACTGGGCGTCTAGGGGCCTCCAGCGACCTCTGGAGACATCCACGGACCTCTGGAAGCATCAAGGGAGCCTCCGAGGGAGGAGGCTCTCCGTGCATTGGACACCTGTGCCGTCGGTTCGCCGAATTAGTCTGCAGAAGCAACGGAAAAGCGAAACGACGGGCAGGGCACTGCGCCGTAGCTAGGATATGGACTCTTGCATGCTGGGCAACTGTTGTCTTAGCGTGTCGCGGCGGCAGCCCCTGTGACAAGCTATACCCTGCGAGAGGATAGCGGGAGGCTGGGGAAAGCTCGGGACGTTCACGCTCGGGGAGGGGGGAGTGGATGGCGTGTCGCGCCGAAGCGTGGTGGGACAGAACTGGCGGCGCGACGCGCTGAGCCGAGGTTCCCGATCGCAACAGAGCTGCTACGGATGGCAGAAAGGAGGGGAGGTGAAAGACCCGGGGGGCTGGTGGGTGCCCAGGAGCTGCCTCCTGGCGAGCGCATGCCTGGGTCAACATGCTCGGACGCTAAACGGTTCGCTCTGCAAGCCACGGACGCGGACTGGCTCCCGCAACTCCAGCATGCTCCAGGACGCCAAGGGGGAGACAAACCACCACCCCCGCCAGCCGCCCCCCCCCCCCGAAGAGTGGCAGGAGGAGCAACTCGGTTCCCCGAGGGAGCCAGATCGCCACAGAAATCGCCTGGGCTGCGATCCTCCCCCCCTCCTTTCTCAACCTGGAACGCCTCTAACGCCGCGCGGGGGAGGGGAGGCCCCTGGCCCCGCCCCCTCACCGCCGCAAGGCGAAGTGAGACCTCGGCCTCGTGCCCGCCCCGACCTCCCCCGGCCCAGGGCGCAGCGCCTCCGGCTCGGCGAGCCGAAGGGCTGCCCGGGAGGGGGGCCTGCGGGATGAGGAGGCTGGTCCTGCGGCGGAGGGGGTGGCGGAGCGGAGGGGGGCACGTCCTGCCGGGCGGGTGCCCTCTTCCTCCTGGAAGAATCGCCCTCCTCGATTTAGCCAGATACCTATCCTTCAGGTCTGGGCGCCTTTTCGGCTCTCGGAGGCGGGCGGTTCGAGTGACCGCCAACGCACCGCACGCAGCACAGTGCATCACTGGGAGACCTGCATCCACTGTTCCAGTGACCCACAAATTGTACTCATATTCTGGCTGCTGGGCCGATCTGAGCACCTCCTGCGTTGATGCAGAAATTTCGGCACGCCCATCTCGAAAGGAGCTGGCTCCCCGACCTGTGGCAGGAAACACAACGCCAAGCATGGTTGGCCCAGACCTTGAGGTGCGGACGAGTCGCAGGTTGGGGCGGGGGAAGAGGGCAGGGTCCCCTCTACGGGGTTCCGAAACGCTCCTTAGTGGGGGTGGTCAAATATTTAAAGTTATCAGCATTGCAACAGCCACACTTTTCAAAGCTCTGCTCCTTCTTTATACGCAGTAATGTCCCTATCTGACCAATTATTAGTCAGGGCAGCCTCCTTGGTCTTGAGGTCAGCATGGGCATTCCATCTGACCATGAGGATCTCTCGAGGAGAAGAGGCTCGCGCCAGACCTTTACGCGCTTCAGCAATCTTCACAGCGATGGGCAACTTACCTACCAACCTCCAGAAGACAGCATGAGCGTTCACGCGAATTTTGGGCCCTGATGGGGCTTGTAACACCATCGACTAGCGCCTGGCAGTCGACATTAGGGGAGAAGCGTCTGCCCGAGTTCTACTGTGGCCGTTGGCGGTCGTAGTCCCGAAATGCTCGGCGGCAGCGGCCTTGGCCCGAGCCTGATGGGAGAGGTCCCCCATGTATCCAGCGGAGCAGATCCTCCCATCCTCCACCTCCTCTTCCTCCTCCCCACCCTCATCATCATCATCAGCATCATCATCATCATCATCATCATCATCATCATCATCATCATCATCAGCATCATCAGCATCATCATCATCATCATCACCACGATCCTGATCCTGATCCTCATCCTCACCCTCAGCCTCATCCTCATCCTCATCCTCCTCCTCATCCTCATCATCCTTATCCTCACATCCTCATCATCATCAGCAGCAGCAGTATCATCATGACCATCGCCATCATCATCATCATCATCATCATCATCATCATCATCATCATCATCATCATCATCAGCATCCTCATCATCATCATCAGCATCGAAGATGTAATCACCATCACTATCTTCATTCTAATCATCACCATCGTCATCGTCATCACAATCAGCATCACTATCGCCATCATCATCATCATCATCATCAACATCACCAGCCCCATCATCATCATCATCATCATCATCATCATCATCATCATCATCATCATCATCATCATCATCATTATTCTCCACATCACCAGCACCATCATCATCCTCATCATCACCATCAGCATCATCATCAACATCATCATCATCATCATCATCATCATCATCATCATCATCATCATCATCATCATCGTCATCATCATCATCACCATCGCCATCATTATCACCATCGTCACCATCATCAGTACCATCAGCATCATCATCAGCAGAATCATCTCCGTCATCATCATCATCATCATCATCATCATCATCATCATCATCATCATCATCATCATCATCATAAGCATCATCATCCCCCTCATCATCAGCAGCATCATCGTTATCATCATTACCCTCATCATCATCATCATCATCATCATCATCATCATCATCATCATCCTCATTATCATCATCACCAGCATCATCATCATCGGAATCATCGTCGTCATCATCATCGTCCGCATCATCATCATCACA